AAAATGTTACAGGTGTCACGCTTCAAAGAATTGTGAATACATACACAATACACATTCCCCAACTGTTGGTTGGGTCAGTCGGCAACGCACTTGTAATCGCTTTGGTGTCTGGTGTCCTTTGTGGCGCCACCAGCTCGGGATAGTAATTGTAAGAATGTGTGGTCGCAGGGCTGCGAGGCCATCGCCGACACGGGCACGTCCCTCATCGCGGGCCCCAGCGGGGAGGTGGAGGCGCTGAACAAGGCGCTGGGCGCGACGCCGATGGCGTTCGGCCAGTACGCCGTGGACTGCTCGCTCATCCCCAAGCTGCCCGCCGTCACCTTCACGGTGGCCGGCACGCACTTCACGCTCGAGGGGACCGACTACGTGCTGCGCGTGAGTACTCTCTTCGAAATAAACTTCCTTCACGACTTCACGACCTACTTGTCGGAGTTCGATCGTGCATTGTAAACTTCCAATGGCATATTCTTCCACCTGTATATGCGGCTCTCAAAAAACTAGTAGTTACTTCCAATGTGTAGATTTCATGGAGAAGATAGTATATGAAGAATTCATTATTTCTGTGCAATTTTCGCTGTATTCCAAACACTACCGTGTTGTGCAGGTGACCCAGTTCGGTAAGACGGTGTGCCTGTCCGGGTTCATGGGGCTGGACATCCCGCCGCCCAACGGCCCGCTGTGGATCCTGGGCGACGTGTTCATCGGCAAGTACTACACGGAGTTCGACGTGGCAGGGAAACGTATCGGGTTCGCGCCCGCCGTCTGATGGCGCGGACTGGTACTTGAGACAGCTAGTACTGGCCGCAAGTAGTCTGTGCAATCTTGTTTGTAGGACGATAGCGTCAATAATAAACAAGCCAATGATGCTTTTTATGTTTTTTATGTTTGTATTTTAGAAATAAAATATTGTGTTAAAATATTCTTTCATTCCATAAGGTAATTTCAATTCATGAGGATACATAAATATTTCTTTTTCCTTATGTCGAGTTAAAATACGATAATAGTGATATAAGTAACTATGTTGAATCCTTTCATGCATAAAAATGTGCAGGAGAATTACGTCCCACGACGATGCATAGGTGAAACCGCTATTGTTGAGGCCACGTTTATACAGGGAATATAAAAAAAACAAAAACTAATAACAAACAAATAGTCAAAACTAAACAGCAATAAATAACTATATTAGTAGGTACTGATAGGTTACCAACCCACTGATAAGTTCGATGTCGGCGTCATGATCGTCCACTTCATGGAGACCCTGTATATTGCAATTATAGAACAGGAAATAATTAAAAGGAATTACTTTTCACAAGGAAACTTGTTTACATATTAATACATATAACTATAACTGCTTCGTTTGCCGAGTGGTCGCAACTGCGATTGCCTCGGGAAGGAATCTCGGGTTCGATTCCCGGGTCGGGCAAAGTACTACTGTGTTTTTAAAAACTCTTAGTGGTAGCACGGAGTCTAGAATTGTGACTAGTATATGGCAATAGGCTCACCTATTACATGGGACTCGGTAACATAAATAGTAAAAATTGGGTGTTACATTGTACAGTGGCATTAAATGCCGTAATGTGCACCTCTGCCTACATTGTGATAGATGTGAACAATTCAGATCTTAGTTATGTTTTTTAAAGTTTTACATTTCTACAACAACATAACATCACGCTCTTTATCCCCGAAGGGGTAGGCAGAGGTGCACATTACGGCATTTAATGCCAGTGTACAATGTAACACACATGAAAAAAGCTTATCGTTATCTTCAATTTCAAATATTGAACATTAGGTACGTCTTTTATTTTTGGAGGTTTGCACATAACCATCAATACATAGTATAAAACAAAGTCGCTTTCGCTGTATGTCCGTATGTATGCTTAGATCTTTAAAACTACGCAACGGATTTTGATGCGGTTTTTTTTAATAGATAGAGTGATTCTTAAGGAAGGTTTGTATGTATATACATATTGCACCCGTGCGAAGCCGGGGCGGGTCGCTAGTAATGAATGTAACACACATTGTTGCCAATTATAAAATATTATTTAAAATATGTTGGAAATAATACATAGTTATATAATATATACTTATTTTAATATATTTTAGTTTATAACTCGAATTGAGTAAGCGTGGTGATTAATGTTAACCTTCTCCGTGTGAGAAGAGGCCTTTGGTCAGCAGTGGCCACTTCTAGGCTGTTGATGATGAGTTTATATTTAGTTCAGTTTATTACCTATTGTGTGTATTAATTTCGGTTTTGAGTTTTCGAATCGATTTCACGAAAAATGTATGAAATAAATAAACATTATAATATAATATACAGGTGTCCAGTAAATAGCGCACCATACTGTTCACAGTATGGTGCGCTAGTATTACCGTTACACACATTCTTTAGTATATCTCAGTGAAAAAATATGTTTTTTTTATTCATGGATAAATACTCTATTTATTGGTAGGTCTTTTGATATCAGGAATAAGAGAGTTTTTAGGAAAAAGATCTTTTTGTATCAGCTTTTGTAGAACAATTTTCTTGTCGCCCAACTTTAACATACAGCAGTGAAAAAATATATTTGGCAGTATTGTACAAGCTTAAAAACTACCTCGTGTAATGGTGGTTTTGTAAAGGTATAATAATAGAACATTATTATTGTAAAACCACGAAAAAAAGCTATTCTAGTCGAAGAGGGGCCGATTTTCTTTACTAACATAATTTTATCAAATACTACTTTGAGAGTAAGTGCTAACTACAAAACCAGATGTTATAAGTACAATGCGGCATTGTTATGCCTAATCTTCACCTATACCAGAACCATTATTTATTAAGCATAGAATCCTCACGCTACCGTCACTGTATATACTCGAAACAGCTTTATTTGTTCACAATAATTTGCATTTATTTACTCACATACCCTCCCATAGTCAACGCCGCGACAACAGTAGACTTTGTGTCCGGCCTACTAAAACAGTTCTTTTACAGAAAAATGTAGTATGCAAAGCTCCAATAACACTACTCAACACTTAAAAAATATCTGACCCAATTTATATTATTTCATAATAAGCTTGACCAATATAAAAATACTGTATGCATTTTATTTCGATATCACGTCTGGTTATAGGGATAAATATTTTTTTATTTTTTTACCTACCTACAAAAGTTAAAATGCGGGTAGTCCGGAAACTTATTACTTTTGCAAATGGAACATAGTGCATTTGTTAGTATATTAACTGACTTCTAAAATGTCGCGAGTGTGTGTTAATAGTCCTGATTTATTTTGCTATATTTGTGGCGAGATTACGCCGAAATTGTAAATTTCCTAAGCTTAGTGACGCGAAAATTAAAGAGGGTGTTTCCGTAGGTGAAGACATAAAAAAGCTGATTCAAGGTCCATCTTTTATATATCTGCTCTCAATAATATTGAAAAATAAGCATGGAACGGTTTTGTCGATGTCACTAACAATTTCCTTGGTAACAAAAAATCTGAAGATTTTCGCGAAAAAATAAAAGTTTTATTGGACTGCTACTATAAAATGGGATGCAATATGTCACTTAAGTTGCATTTTCTTCACTCGCATTTGGACTTTTTCCCTGAAAATATGGGATCCGTCAGTGACGAACATGGCGAACGCTTTCACCAAGATGTTGTTGCATTTGAAAAGCGATTTCAAGGCAGATGGGAGCCTGCTATGCTCGCGGATTACTGTAAAAGCCTTATTAGAGAGACCCCTGCTACTGAGTACAAGAGAAAAGCCAGCTACTCCAAAAAAACTACGCCATTTCAATTAAAATTACAATAAAATTATGGAAAATTCGTGATTTCGGACATGGATGTTTATCTGGACATTGAGATGTGATGGTGTGTGTATATTTGCATATTTTTATTACTTTAGTGGCAATAAATAGTAATCACATAATGCGACCTCAGATAAAATTAAAAGTTGAAAATTTGTTGAGTAGTGTAATTTATAATCACATACCGAACTCAATGAAAAAATTGAACGCCAATATTTTTAAAACAACTTTTAAAAGTACCCTGATTAAAAAATGTTATTATAGTGTAAATGAATTTCTTAGTGATGGATGTGTTTGAATGATTGAATGTAATGATATTTAAATTGTAGCACTTAACCATAATATGTAATTATTCTATTCTGTTAGTTTCTTATGACTTATTTCTATTGATTTTATTATTTCATTGTTATTGACATTATTAGTGTATCTTGACATTTACTTATAGATTTATTGGAAAATTAATTAATATTTGTACACCGGTCACGGTTAAGCATGTTGATACCAACAATACTGTACATCTATAGTAAACATTCATTTTTGCATGTATTATTGTAACCTACACATGTTTTGGCAAATAAAACTATCTTTATCTTTATCTTTATACGTTGACCGACGGAAACACGATCGGCCTCTCACGTTAAAATAGTTTTTTTTATGGAATAGGAGGCCAACGAGCAGACGGATGGTAAGCGATCTGCGCCGCCCATGGACACCCAAGAATAGCAAGGCAACACTAGGAGAGTCAGTTTGTACGGGTAATGCATAAAATGGATGGTGTCTGTACTTTTACATGACTGAATAAACAGTGGACTTCGTCATTGCTGAATACCGTTTCATAACTGTAAGTGAATTCGACGACGCTGTTGTTCAGTTTCCAACTGCAGAACATCGTATTTAATTCTGGAAGAAGAAATCAAAAAGAAAATAGAAATAAAGAAAATAGAAATCATAAAGAAAACAACTACTACAGGTTATCAAAAAGAAAATAAGCAATAAAGATCAAATGCACAATATCAATCATTCCAATGTTGTATACGCAGTTCATCTGTGTTAATTGTTTCAGCAACGAGTAAACAGTCGGCACAGAAATTAGAACGAGAAGTTTGTGGTCGCCATCAAAATAATACAAAATCCCACATTCCGCACTGCTGCGTGTATTAACAACGTAATCATCAAAATAAATAGTCTAGTGTTACTTTCATAATTAAATACTATTTATTTAAATAAAAGTTTAAGTAAAATAGATCGTCATTACATAAATTATAATTACAATATTATTCTGATAGAAGTGCCAGGCAGGCCTGCGCGCCCCTCTCTCTATGCTACACTATGTATACAACTATCCACCAGTCGCCACCAGTAGCCACCAGTCACCACCAGTAGCCACCAGTCACCACTAGTCACCACTGGCGTCACTAAACTAGTCCCAGTTTATGTTTTTTTCTGAACTTTTTCACATACGCCTCTACGAGCGCTTGAATTTTAGCTGGATTGATTTCTCCCGTCTTGTTGTGGCAGATCTGAAACAGTAAAGTAGTATTTTATACAACACATAAAATGTAGTGATAGTATTGAGAAGAAAATTGACAACACATTGTACTATAACATGTATAACTAGTACATCGCCCCACGTAGCCTCTCACAATACAAATTCACAAGCGTCCTACACTCGAATCTGGATCCGGGACAATTTTAGGATAACGCACTTACTCTGTCCGAGAATCAAACCGAAACTCTCGAAGAACAAGTACCTTGGGCACGGCGCGGCGCAGGATGTCCTTGTACTCGTCCTTGGTGACATGTTTCTTGTTGTAGTGCGGCTTCAGCACCAACTTCACTTCCTCCACCACGCGCTCCTGGCGGTTCAACTTCTTCAGGAACTGAAACATTAACAACTCAGCTGTACTCGCGACACAGAACTTGCGAGCCACTACTGTAAGCACTACTAGTTAATATAATATCGGTCACACACATATACAGCGTGATTGCTCACTTTGCTCTTCACTTGCATCTCGACGGCCGAGCTGGGGAGATCGTCGAGAATCTTCAAATTGTCCTCGTCGATCTTGACTCCCACTTGTGTTTTGCCTGGCGACAGAAACAGATCGTTAGTGGACGGCGGACGTGACGCGCTCGTACAGGCCGGTGGAGGCGCACCTTTCTTCCGGCTGAGCTTGACCGGCACCTTGGCGGCGCCCTGCGGCCGCTTGCGGCGCGGCCGGTCCAGCAGCGCGTCGAAGGCGCCGCGCGCGCCCGCCGGGGGCTCGAAGAGGTCGCCGAAGTCGCTGGAGCCCGGCGAGTAGGGCGAGTCCGCGTCGCCGTCCGACTCCGGCCCGTCCCGGCGCCGCGCCGCCACGGCCGCCGTGCTGGGGCCCAGCGCCGCCGGCCGCTGGATCTTTGTGGCTTGCATAGGTTTGATAGGATCCGACTTGATCGGGGAGGGCTTGGCCAGGAACAATTTAGGCGGCTGTGAACGCGTAGGTGAAGGTAGTACGATGCGCACGGGAGGCGCCTGGGCCGCGGGCGCCGGCGCCGGCGTGGCTG